TCTTTCAGGATTTTTTTTTTTAAGTCACTATGAGCCAGATAAACTATGCCAGCCCTACTGTCCGCTTTTCCTTCTGAGCACAGGCTTGACTACCTAAGCAATTAGGGAGAAAAAAAATTACACCTTCTCTACTTTTCCTCAAAGCTTTAATGAAGGAAAAGGGGGCTAGAGAAGTATCTTCTTTCTTGCCAGTGAGCAGACTGGCTTCCAGAAAGATGCAAACCTTTCCACTAATTCTCACTGCTTTCAACTCTTCCAAGCTTTAGATCCATCCCTTTAATACTGATACTTCCAGCCTAAGCACCAGCTGACTGATGGTGGTCGCCAGACCCCGGAGAGACATCACATTTCAGGGGACAACCTGGTTGGAAATAACGCAAGCCCTACAAGCCATTTATGTCTACTTACACCAATGCTGAAGGCAGAGGCACCAGCTGACATGCAGGAAGCAGCACCCAGAGCTCTGGGAACCAAGGGCAGTGGTGGTATTGGAGCCAGGTGGTGCAGCAGTGCGCTGCGGACAGACACAGGCTGTCCTGCAGGAGCACTGGAGAAACACTTACCAAACTAGGAATGGAGGAACAACTACAATCATGGTACTACTTCAAGTTATTTAGGTAACAAGATCCTAATTTGTGCTCATGAACCTCCTGCTAAGGCCCTTAGTACAGTTGCACAACATCACACTTAATACCTGTGAGATTCATCTGCCCTTGCCGTACAGATGGCAAAGCCCACAGAAAGGTTCACTCCAGTCAGAGAAACTGGAGTCCAGCAAATTTTGTTCCTTCAACCAGAATCACCCTCATCATCTCAGAAATGCACCTCATACTTTTTTCCCCATCCCTTTCCCGCAAGCATTCACATGAAGTCATCTTTGTTCATGCTGGTGACCAATTTCATTGAAGTTCGATTTCATTAATTTCACTAAGATGGTGAAAAAAATCATATGCTCATTTTTTTTGTCCAGTAAGTTTAACCCACTTAGATATCAGGAGTTGCAAACAGCAGTGAAACCTGCAGAGGCAGAACGTAAAAAAAAAAAGAATGCAGGAGAGAGATTTCTTAATGAAAATTGAACTTCTTTACTGTGATTTCAAGGCTGCATAAGAAAGCAATCAAGGACCTATTTTCTTGCTTCCCTTACTGAGGTACTCAAAAATCTCCCTAACAAACAAACGCTCCACCAGGTCCTGCTGTAACAGAACACCACTATGGGAAACACCAAACAACTTTGATGTAAGTTGCTGCTCATCGTACATACCTGCAAAGTTTTGTGGCTGTAATGAGATTTTACAGCTACAGGATGCCATTGGTCTCTAGAGTGGTAATCCTCTCAAGTACTTTTGCAAGCCAGAACAGCTAACCCAGCTACCACTGAGGTTAACAGAATCATTTTCACTGGTTTCAGGGAAAGTTAGCCTCAATGCTACAACCTGATCCGTCTACATGGGAAGGTCCTTGGACAAAAGGACCAAGGCAGGATTTTAAAATTCTCTTTGCAACAATAAAGTAACAACATATCTCAAGAGATCATGGCTTTTAAGAAGTCAAATCGCTATTTCAATAAAATACCCAACTTTGGATGGATGTTAAGTAGTTTGAAAGGAGTTGAGTGTATGAAATGCTAAGTAATTAGAGCTCCTAGGCTTCAAATAAGAAAGGAATCCCAGAAGTGCAGAGTTAATTAACCTAACCACAGCGCTACAAACACCTTATTTTTTAGAGAAAAGCCAAGAAAACAAGTGTTTGTGCAGATATAGTGCATCTCCGCAAAGAGGTGAAGTGTCTTGCTTTTAAACATGCAACACGTGTCAAAACCAGAGGATATATTTTACACCTAGAAGCTGGCTACTCATGACTGGTAACAAGTGTAGTACTGGCCTTTAAGCCAGTCCCAAAAGGTCTTGGAGGAAAAGTATTCAATCTAGAGCAACAGCAACCCCTTATTTGACTAGCAGAATTGCACCTGACACTTTGCTACAGACAAATTTTTCCATAAAACTGGTGAGACAGGAGTCCCACCATCTGCCTTTACTAACACCCTCGCCTGTGCCTGCCATACTCAGGGTGGCAAGCAGCACACCTGAGCACCCAGGCACTGCCAAGCAGCTGTGACACTGCTGCAGTTTGGTAAAAAAACAATTTTTTTCTCCTCCTATCCCACCTCACCCCTCATAACTGCAACTTGCAAATCATTCTTCACAAATTATTACTGTTGTGGGTTTGGGGTTTTTTTCTGAGCAACACTTCTGGGATTGCACTAGTGAAAATAAGTAAAGTTAGCATTACACTCGAGAGCATGAAAACCCACTCATAGCATCCTCCTTCCTCTTACAGCAGGGTTCGAATCACTCACCCTTGCTCGTATTGAAGGTCTCCAAAGTTTCTTCGTGTCTCGCTCCCAGGGCCAGCCAGCGCTTTCCCTCCGGCTGTCATTCCCGCTGCTCTCAGCCTGCCCCTAAGAGCAGCTTGCCCTGCCCTGCCCTCTCTGCTCTGCCTGCGGGGCCGGGGCGGGGCTCCCGCCGCCTCTGTCCTGGGGCAATCCCGGGGCATCTCGGGTTCTCCGGCAAGGCAAGGCAAGGGAGCTGCTGGATCGGCCGAATCGGCGTGCTGTCCCGCGTTCCCGCAAAGCCAACAGGCGCCCAGCTCCCTCTGGATGAGTTTTGCTGGGCGGGCACGGCGGGAGCCAAGGCTCCGACTGATGCTCTGGGCGCCTTCAGCCGGGGCTCGCCTGGCCGGCTGAGCTCTGCCGCGCTGGGACCGAAAACTGTGGGCGACCTTCTGGCAAGAGCTTCCTTTCTGCTGCACTGCCTTTTTCCTCATCCCCTCTCCTTAGCCTTCCACGCAGAATTTGGGGGGGGGGGGGGGGGGAGAGGGGAGGTTTTGATCACTTTGGTTAAGCCTGTGTAGAGGTAGGAACTCACCTTGGGCTCCAAACGTCCATCCGAGATCTGAAGCCGCCAATTCACTGGGAAGAGTCTGCGCAAACTTTTTGCAACAAAGCTGACCTTACAGCCTTCTAAAGCCCAGCCCCACCCCCAGGTTTGAGTTTAGAGAAATTTCTGGCTTCAGAATGAAGTTGCTTAGCACAGAATAAGTTTCAGTTAACTAGTAAGTCAGTGCCTTCCTTTCACTTCCAAGTAAGTTTACCCTTTGATTTGGCACAGCCTATGGGAGAATGACAAATGAAAGCTATGAAATGTAGCTTTGATTATCAGGTGAATTAGCAAACTTTTTGTTTTGCCAAGGTCATCAATTCCCAACTCAGGTACTAATAAATCACAAACCAGCTGCAAAACCCATGGGAATTAATATTATTTTTAATAATTAATTTGAGGCTTTTCATAGTGGCTGCTGAAATTTTAGCTGTATGTTATTACAGCTCTGAGGGTTAAAAGGTTTTTTTTTTTTACCTTTTGTGGTTCTCTTGAAATCAAACCAGCTGTAAAATACTGCCTACTTTTAGGCTTAAAATAGCTGAAACCACCATTTCCTGTGGTTTCACATAAAACCATACACTTCGTGATGAGTGTGCCTACTGTTGTAAAATAAGGGTATAGGGCATGGCCAGGCAACTCAAAGGGGTGTTTGTCAGCCCAGTGAAGGGCAAGAGCTGGTGAAAGCCCAGAAGTACCTGAAGCAGTTAGAGAGGAGCTTGGATTTTTCTGTTCTATGCTGTACTGCTACTTCTCATGACTTTATCAACAATTTTTGAGCTGCAGCTCCCAGAAGCTAGACAGCTACACAGACTTTAAAAAAAAAAAAAAGAATCTGGCTCTCATCAATATGGGAATAACATTAAGTATAACATGGGTACCCACAACAGCTCAGAGTGCATCTATCAGGGAAAGGCTAACCTATTTTCCTCCTTGGTTTTATGATTTTGGAGTATGTTTAAGACTATTTAGTATTACTTCCCGTGTGTAGAAACTAAAATGCAAGAGGTTCCTTCTTCCCATCCCCAAAAATTAGCATTGAATGAGTAATAAAAATAATGCTTCAGTGCAAACTCTATTGTGGAACTTCCAGTGGTCTCACATCTGTGACCAATTCTAGCCGTCATTTGAATTACTCTCCTCCTGATGGAAACCCAAGAGTTACAAATTGTGAAGAGAAGTATTTGAAGTCACTTGTGGTATTGCAAATCATATTTCTATACAGGTTATCCACAGGAAGTGTTGTCAGATTCAGCAGAAAACAAAGCACAGACTTTGTCACCCAGTTTCTGGGTGACATTCTTATTATTTCATTGAGAGAAAAACACAGATTTGAAATCAGCTTATTTACAGGTCTTACTCCTAAGAAATTTTAAAAAATAAAGTCAAATCACTACCTCCCACAGAAATATTGAAGTGGTGAGGGGGCTTAAAGTGATTTTCCTGTTAAGAACACAATGCAAAAAGAATGCAGACTAGGACAAGACTTATTTAAATAAAACACAGTAAGGCATGTGCATGAGGATATATGGATGAATTATGCTCTGATCCTAACCACAAAGGAAGGTTGACAAGATTGTACTTACTCTAACCTGACATACCATATGGTAGATGACTCTTTACCTTTTCTCAGCTGGAAATATCCTCTACTGCATGACTAAAGTTGTATGAAAAAGGTCTAGTCATATTCCCACTAGACAAAATACCTTTTACTGGGGCTATATTTGATATCTTTCCTTATTAGTGTGGAAACTTCAGGAATCACAATACCTCTATTATAAAGAACGTATATATGCACTCACCAGTGCTTGCTGGCCTATTGCTCATAGAGACTGTGTGTAATTGCAGCACAGAGGAGAATGATTCTGTTCTGCCCAGCTTACAGTAGTGAGCACATAGCAGAATATTAAATTCTCCTCAGCACCTCCATCCAGGATAATAAACCCAGCTCTGAAACCCCTCTGTGATAATTTTGTTAAAGGTAAGCCCAAGTCACCATGTTAATCTAAGGAGATAAAATAGAACACATTCCAAAATTATTTTTTTATTGTGCATAACTTTATTTGGATAGATGAATGATCTTGCATGATGTCAAACGTTGTTGAGAGAGCATGAAGTCAAATGATGTCATTAAGTTGCAGTTTTCTTGAGACAATCAGTTAGTTTTCCGTAATTAGGCTACTGTACATATAAAAGCTGAAATCCTATATGCATGATTGGTGTAGCGAGGAAAAAATAATTAAAAAGTAGAAAAAAAAGGGGCTACCTTTTTAAAAAACTTTTTTTTTTTTTGTGATTCTGGAAAATCTTTTTGAGAATGTCAAAGAGCACAATAGCAAAACAGGTAATGGGTTTGTAAAATGTAGAAGGCCAGCTCCTTTGCTGTGTAAATAACATGAATACAGATGAAGCAGTTGTAGGAACAAGGCATACTGTTTTGGGGACTGGAGTAGACTCTGGTCTTAGAATCCTTGACTTAACTGTGGGAAAAGGAAAAAATACACATTATGTCACACAACAATGTTCCACTCCTGTCCCATCCATGTGTTTCTCTGAGTGCACCTGGCCCTATGGCACACCTAGTTCATCAAAAATTGCTGTGAGAGAAGTCAGCATGTGAACTGAGTGAAAATCAGCTACGCTGTGTTAAATGATAGGTATCACATTCCCACCCATATCCATAACATGAGCTAGGTTTTCTCTCTCAGGAATAAAGGAATTGACCTCATGTTTACTGCAAGGAAGAGCATGCGGGTACACGAAGCAGTTCATATGAAGTCAGTGCATACCAATGGTAAGGCTTTTTTGTGTATCCATCTCTACATCTGTTGCACAAACTGTTGAGTACATTCATATCTTTATACATGTTCTTCAGCAAACTTTCAGCTCTTAATTTAATAAAAAATTTCAGTAGTTAATTTGTTTAGTCCAGATGCATGTCAGTAATTTAGCCAAATATGTATTGGACCTGACTCTCATGAGTTTTTCTGTAATATAGCTTCATTGATTTTATTGGAACTGCATTTAATTCACCTAACTGTGAGATCCTATCCAGGACTATGGATTAGTTATATGGAAAAAAACCTCACATATGAAAAACTTTAGGTATTCTACAGTGTTTAGCTGAGTGCTATTCTTGTGAATGATCTGAGCTCCTGTGTACAACCCCAGCACAAATGCTAGAAATACTGTGTAAAACACATCCTTCTATCCTGTCCTGATTTAGAGCACAGAACATGGAGGAGAAGACCCACATGCAAGTAAGTCTAACACAATAGTCAAATAGAATAGTCTCCTCTGGGCTGGAATATTGTTAACAACAGATTCATATGTCTGAACATACAATGACTTCACCTACTTCATCTACATCTACTTTTGCAGGCTTGAAAAATCTGATTCATTGTCTAGAAAATCTGTATTACTTTGGTAGGTTCTTTCATCCCCTCATTTTTTCGTGCATTTATTATCTGAGCCATCTAACTGCAACCCAAGAAATTGATCCCACTATAGAAGCAGAAAACTGATCAAAGTTTGCATTGCATTCAGAGCAATTCCTCTGATGTTCAGGGGGAAAAATAAGGAAAAAAAAAGTTCACGAATCCTTACATCATAAACTTAGTTTGTGAGAAAACTGTTCTTTTATATATTTTATAGCAATGAAGGTTACCATAGTTCATATTTTAGGGAGTGAAACAACTCCATTCTCATTAAGTATATGTACAAGCTGTAGAGATCACCTAGTCAAGGCTAACTTTAAAAGTCACAGTACTACTCGACACAAAAGAATAGAACCTTACAAATTGCTTAACATAGAATGTGAATGTTTCAGTCTCTCTTGCATCCAACCCTTTATCCTTTCTCTGCTTACCAATGTTTTTACTGCCTGTTGATGAATCTGTGCCATTCTCTCTTCATGAAGCCTTTGCTTTTTGTCATCTTCAGGTTCATATTTCAGTTTAGCCAGCACAAAATCCCGCCTCATCCTCTCAAGCTCACATATCAGTATCTGCTTCTGTGACCCACTTGCCACAGAGTTGTTCCAGCTCCTCTGCACTGGTGGACACTTCTGACTGCAAAGTGCTGGTGCCTCTCTTCATGTACGAATGTGCCATGTGACACTTGGCATCCATGCTCTCTGTTTTACTGTCTGAGATGACAGGTGATGTTGACATGTCTCTGACAACTCCCTGCTATAAATTGGAGAGAGAGATGATAAATTTTTGTATGTAAGCTGATAGACAGAAATGGAATATGTTCATCTAAGTCAACCTGGATACTTGTTTAAGTGATTATTCACACATTTGTATAACAACTTACTAGTTCTTTACTATACATTATTTCCCTTTAAAAAGTTTGCTCCTAGGTCTCCAAAACAAATCTTCCATTGAATGTTGTCTTACAACATATGAAACATCCACCATATAAATTTTTTCTGATTTGAAAATGTAAAGAAATATTTTAAAATATTTAATTAGGGCCTGGTTGATCTAGAATAAACATGATGGCTCTTTTGACCACATGGAAGGATTTCGCGTCTTGTGATTTTGATGTTAACCCACTGAGGTCCTTTACCTCTAAGAAGTAACTCAAATGTCTCATGAACCTTGTTTCCCTCTGCAGACAGTTTCCTGGCTGATCCACAGCTTCCATGATGCACTATAGTTTGACATCTGGAAGAACAGTATTTTCCACTTACCATCTTTTCATGCTGCTGCCTCTTGTTATCATTATTCTAGGCTTCCTATAAAGCAAGTTTAATAACTTTCTGATTTCTCTCAAGTTCATTCATAGTTGTTCAGAATGAGTATTCTGATCCCTCTAGATTGCTGAGTTCTTCCAAATCTCTTTGTATTTTCTCATCTTTAGTGAACAGAGTTTCTCTCTCTACATGGGAGCTCTTCACTGATACGAGAGCATCTCCAGGGATGTTCTGGAATGAATGGGGATATCTATGTGTTGACAAAGAAGTAGGTATAAGAAAAGGAGTGGCTGAGAATAAGGTAGGTATATACACATAGGGCAAAGTGGTGCCTATAGGAAAGTGGCCAGGAGCTTAACCCTCATTTGTATTCCATCACGTCCCTTGCCTAGATATGAATAAAAAAATAAATCACTGGATATTGACCTGTAGGTAGATGTTCCAGAAATCTCACCTGTAGGCTTTTTAAGAGATAATTTGTAAACAATTCCTTTTACAGTAACCTGCAGATTTGGCTAGAGGCCCCCAGGAACTAAGAACGGTATATCACACTTTGAAATGTAATATAATCAATATCCTTCTGCAGCTCAAAGAGGGATGGCTTTTCTTTCATGGAAATCTACCTTAGACTGGGGTGTTTCTTACTACCTCCAGTACAGTAAGATCACAACTTACACAGTATGTCTAGAGATTAGCTAGAAGTAAACACTACCCTTTTAGCTGACTAGAACTGACATTTCAGCATGTAATCTAAAAGTTTAACCTCTTGTTTCCAGGTTTATAGAACTTGCTGCGTTTTATAAAACTAGGTATAAAGCATAGATTTCACATCTGAGAAAATATTTAGACAAGAGAGACAAATAAATTGTTTGTTGAGTTTGAGGAAGAGGAGCAGAAGAGGAAGAAAATAAAGAAAACTCATTATCATGAGTAACTGATATCCGAAGACAGGGTAGGCAGCAGGATAAACACAAGGCAACAGTCTCCTCTTCGCAGCTTTTCCATACAGAAAATGTCAAACCAGCTGTCCCAGTTCAAGGGCCAGGACACAACCACCACAGAGATTCCGACCTTGTCTGACTTCATAACTGTTACGTTGCTACAACAAGCTGATGCTCATTGTTGGCAAGGTCACATTCTGTCACGTTTCTTTTTGACCCCTGGGGCAGTATCCAGGCTCTTCAAGGGGGATTGAGCTTACCACCTCCTCTGTCACAGACACCCTACTCGGTTACTGTTTTCACCTTTGTAAATACATCTATATTTTGCAGTGAAACTTTCTGCCAAATTTGTGTATTCCCAGAATGTCCTTGTGTGAAAGCAAATTAGCTTTTTCTGGGAGCCAGGTTTATTGGATCAGATAAAGCACCATGAATATGGCTGTCCCCTTTTGGTGTTCCTGGATAGTTTCTCTTCAAGGCGTTGCACTGAATCTCATGGATGTAATTAGCCCAACAAGCTCTGCACTGTTCTCTATTCCTTACTGTAGATGTGCCATAATTTTAGTTCCCAGCTATAAACTGAAATTCCTTGAAGGGACTGGTCACAAGTTTACAATGACTTTGTGATACAGTAAGAGGTAACGTGAGCCCTTTAAGAATCTTACAGAGAACTGTCTCTGATATTCAGGCATAGGGAGACAAAGTTTTTCTACTGTTATTAGTCTATATAAAGCACCTTTCAGAAAAGGATTTATCAGTTACAGATTATATCATATAAATAAACACAGGACCTCAATTGCTTTTTGCCCTCTTCTATGTATCATATACACCAACGCAAAGTCAGTATATTTGCTCAGTAGGTGATATGTGGAGAGGTGGATGACAGCCAGTGAGGATAAGAAAGACTAATGAAGTTACTGAGACCACTTCCTTTTGCATCATTTATCAAGTGTTTTGTCAGTTTACAGATTTTCAAATCCCAAGGCACACTGAAGACAGAATGACACACAGTGCTCTAGAAGTCCATCATTAGTTTTGACTGAATATATTAGGGAGTTTTTAATTGCTTTTGGTGCCAATGATCCAATTACTGAGTTAAACATAGGTTCTTGTTATTGAATAATCAGAAAATGAGTGAGAAGGGTTGTAGGGTACATGTGTATTTGCACATTTGCCTTATGATTTCCAAAGGTAATGTGTATTTTCTAAGAAGACACTGAAATGAAGCTGTGGCAGTTTTTTTGCTTTTATTGTAGTTAACTTTCCTGAATTCCTTATGGAGAATGCAAATATCATAATGCCTTAAATGCTTTCTCATTATGTATTTCTTCAGACAGTCTCAAGACATCCACATTAATTTCTTTCCCCACAAATCTTAAAGAACTGCAAAAAGGATTTTCATCTCTGTCCAGGGACAAAACCTGGTAGTGCAGTCAGGAAATCAATTTGGTTTTGCTGAATGACTTAGTTGGCAAGTGGGAGGCATAGGATACTGTTTGGCAGACATTAAACATACAGTAAACCTCCTACAGTAAATAAGTACTTGCAAAATCATTCATTCTCCATGTACACAACACAGTAAGGTATATAACAGCTGGGATAACTGCTTATGTTTAGAGAGTGAGAGATATTCATGCTTGAGTATGAAGTCTCACTTCATAACACATTTCAGTACCTGAAGATCATTTCTCTAAAAAGCCTAGTGCATGTCATACAAGCAGCTATGCTGAAGGCCAGATTTAGAGCAGGATGTTAGTAATAAGAGACTGTGAGCAGGTAAAAAGAATTACAAAGAAATTTCAGAGGTTGAATTTCTGGTAGTCAGGCACTGCAAGTTCCTATATAATATTAAGTAGATGGGAAAGTCAGCAAATGGAGTTGTGTGTAGACACCAGCTGTTTCAAACCACTCAGGTTAGGCAACTTTCCAATACACTGGATCAAAGTGCTGTTGTTTGAAAAAATGGAATAGGGCTGGCAAAATATTTCCTTAGACTGCAGCTTTTAGGCTGTTAAAGTTGTTAGGTAATCTTCCTTAGAGGCCTCTTAGGAAATAAATGAGTACCTGCTTTGCAGGACACACGGTATTGCTATAGATTTTTATGCACTTGGGTTAATTTGTGGTTAACGAATTAATCAGTAACCATTAATTAATGGTATGGCAAGAGGAGTTATCTCCTCTTTACGTATGGGGAATTGTGTCACTGGCTAAAACAAATGACATACCCAAGCCTGATCCTTAGTCTTATGCGCTATCTGTGCAACCATCCTTCTTTGTTCATGTTTTCTCCTTTCCAAAAGTGCAGCAGTAGTCAAAATAAAATTCTTAGAAAGGAAACAAGTATCACAATTCTCCTACATGCATTGCTTTTTGAAAGCAGACAAAAAGTTACTGATGCACAGAGGCATCAAAACCAGAGGGAACTGCATACACATGCAAACGCTGAGTGGATGCAATAACTAACACATGCACAATCATTCTTATGTTGGAATCACGCCGCAGGTCTTGTGCATGCACTGGACAGTCAATCTGTGTATATAGGCAACATCACTAGGACTTCCAGGATGCTAAACATTTAGAAAATTCAGACAAGTGGCCAAGTTCTTCTTTTTTTTGCTCTGACAAAACTTACATCCAAGAAAAGTGTACACATTTCAGTGAAATTAAAATACACCTAATCTAATAAAATATAAAGGCCAAAAAACTATGGTCACCAACATTCCCAAACTTTTTAAAGGCTAAGCTTCCTCCTCTATGTAGTTTTTGATCAATTCCCATTAAACATTTTAAATTATCCAAGCCAACTGTGCTTCACTGTTACTTTTAGTGAATTTTGATATACATTTTAATTTCCTTAAGATAATCACAAAACACTCTGGGTGTACATGCTGGATAAAAAGGACAATACTATTTAAGGTCTACTGACAGCTAGTAATCTAATTTTACAATAAACCCCATTATTTTGATTTTTCTACAACTTGCCTAATGAACTCAGGATCTGTTCTTTTGTCAGCACTGGGATACTTCATTTTCATGAGCTGATTTATCATAGTTTCTGTTCTTTGTGCACCAAGAAAAGAGCTCTTCCATTTTGTTAAAACAGTGCAAAACTATTCACCTGTAATATCCAACTACCACATACAAACATACATGCATATATACATACATGATTATTTCAAGATGTTTCTATATCATGGAGCATAGAAGAGGAAATAAGAATATTCATGTGACCCATCAGGGCAAAATAATTTTATGAGTGATGGTTTGGTTGAATGATACTGGTGTTTCAGTAATTTATAAATATATGAAAACCCTCCAGGGATCAGATTATCATTTAGACTAGTTTACCAAACCTCATTTCCTTCCATAACATTCTTCTATTTTTCATCACCTGAGAATTTCACCTAGAATATTTCACAACTATTCTGAGGCACTATAGGTAAAGTAGTCTTCTTTTACCTGACAAATAATATTAGCATACACAAATCCAGGTAGTTTCTTATACCAGTCTTTTATGGAATGACAGATCTGTTTCATTAGGCGTACATTTTGGAACTTCCTTAATTTCAGACTTTACTCTGTACTCATTAAAACTCTAACTACGCTCTAGAAAACATAATTTCTTGAAGCCTGGATCCAACTCCACTCACTCTGGTGAAAAGGTGCAGCTTAGCTTCTACCAGTGCAGGTATTAGAACAATGCTGTCAAGCTGTCTAAGCTTGAAAGAGAGTGAAAAGATGAGAGCAGAAGGCTGTGTGTTGTGTCTGACTCCTCTGAATAAGCAGAGAAAGCCAACAAGTGTCAACAGCCAGCGCAAAAGCAGCACTAGTTTGGTTTTCTTGAAATTCTGGACTAATTTCGGCAGCTATCCCAGGTAATATTAGAAATGAGCTCTGAATAAACATAAAATTATTTACAAAACCTGAGCTACTTTTGCTGCTGGTTTCACTGCAGCCAGCATATCAATTACCGAAGCCTGCAGCTCTGTTGAAATATCGGATTCCTTCGGAGAGTGACAACTGACAAAATGTCATTTCTTCCTCTGTAGATGTTGGTTGGGTGGTGTCTCATGTTTGAGGTAGTTCTACTTTTCTCTTTAGAGCCACAGCTTACTGCATTCATTATAGGAATAGGAGCACTTTCACCAGCTGGCAAATCTCATTTTTTTGAATATTCAGGATATCTGTGTTCAAATGAGACAATTCACTAAAATTAGAGTGTACCATATCTCTCTTTAGAAAACTTAGCATATACACTGAGAAAGGAGGGAGAAGGAAACATAGCTGCTTGAGAAGCCATCCCCAGTGT